CCCCCCCCCCTTTAGAGAGCTTCTGGCTTATTTTAATTCCAGACTTCATGTTAGTGGCAAGTGAAAACTGCAGAAGAACACACTTGCAAAAGATAGAATATGCAAGCTGCGGTCAGTTCGTTGAAACTAATAATTCCTCTGTTCTTAAAGGAATTGCTTTGTTAGGTCAGAGTAATCTAGTAAGTGCTAGTCATGTTGCCTCAGCACTTGGTTTTGGTCCCAACTTCAGGCTTCTCTTATTTAGGTTACATTGATATGTGTATTGAATCTGAACTTGAAACACAACAGCACTGTTTTCGAACAAGTTGCTTTTCTTACCTGCTTATTCCAGGTAGATGCTTGAGTTTTGAATTTTTGCTTTAAGTTATCTTCCTAATGCAAGCCTTGTGTTTAAGGAGAAAGGAGATTGTAGAAAATGTTGTTTTGGGCCAGTATCTCTTGTTAGGAGTGGCTCTGACCTCTAGCCTTAAGCTTGACTCCTAGATTTTTTTTTTCTCCCCCCCGATTTCTTTCTGTAAACTGTATGTTCTGTATATGCTATTACTAATAAGGATTGCCTACAGTGTTTGAGAACATACTTAACACATGCTAACCATGCTTCTCATCTGTGTATTCAGAGTTATCCTCCTAATTATTGTTTGGGAAATGGCAAAACCAGTGAGGCTCGTTGATTAAAAGTATTCTGGGATATTTTTGGTAATATATGCTTATATGTTGAATATGGCATTACTATATTAGTATTGGCATTCTTAATGTTCACTTTAATACCTGTTTCTGAACTTCCCTTGGTATTGGTCACAATATTAACTATACCATTACTATTTTTTTTCAGTGTTGAGGTTTCTTCAAAGGACAAAGTCAATTAGAGGTCTGTTTAACTGCTACACTATAATTTTGGAAGTGTTTGTGGAGCTGTCTGGTTAACTGGATTGCTAACACCACCCGAGTTTTAGAAACACACAGCTCCTCCAGTACATTTTTCTCTGTAAGTAGTATGTAGGGGGCAGGTATTGTGGCAGGGTGTCCCTTAAGCTGGTTTTGCCATTTGAGGAAATGTGTGTGTAACCACACCCCTAATTAAAATTAATTCAGCTTTAACCTACAAGAGCAACCTATTTTTAAGATGTACCAATTTATTTTCAAAGGAAGTTTCAAATATTTGTGTCTCAAAAAGATCTTGTTGAAAGATACACGTAATATTAGTACAATAAATTTCAGCATATTTAACTCAGCTATATCATGCTTGATTCTTTCAGCATTTTTGTGAAAGAACATGAAAATGAGACTTGGCATGAGCTGAAATTAAAAATGTGGAATGACTTGGGGAGGGGAGAATGATTTCAATGAATTTTTTGTTCTTGATATGTGAGGTAAGGCAAAGTAGCTGATACATTGCTGTATTGTTGTGTTCTAAGTATATTTGAGCAACTTTGCCTGTAAGGAGTTGATAACTCATTAAAAAGGTCAGTGTTGCCTTGTTGATGAAACTTGAAAGAACCAGCAGCAGTGGTCAGTTGAAAAGGTGGTTGGAAGTTTTGCCAGAATGGAGCCTATACAGTGGTGGGGAGAAGCAGCTTTTGCATGAAGAGATGGTAATTTAGTTGAAATAATAGTATAACTCTGTTCCTTGCAACTCTTCTCCAATATCAACAAGAAACTGTCACTACTTAAATAGACTAGGGCAAATTTATTTATTTTTTTTAACTTGTAGGTTTCTTAAGACTCTGGTGAAAACTTTATTCTCTTATACTAAGAAACACAAGTGGCTTCTGTCCTTGAGTTGGTTACTTAACCTTGCAGTTTGAGCCATCTTGCCTGGCTGTGTACTTTGTGTTGATAAACACAAGATAAGTAAATGGAATTCAGTAGCTTTGGCACTATGTGAGTTTTATGGCAACTTCTGAGTACAAGAAAAGCTTATTGGAAACTATAGGTGGAATTAGAGATTTCTAAGACCTGCCCATACATTGCTTTATTGAAGGGAGCATCTCAGTGGAAGTCATGTTCTGAACAGTAGATATGGAAGATTTGGCTCTTAGTTTATGCTTATATGTGCTTAAGACATCACACAGGTGTCAGAGATGACAAAGTGAACATGATAGGTGGTTTCTTTTGCATTCAGCGTTATTTGTATATATATCAAAATGGTGACATGCTTTACATACTCTTCTTAATATACTGATTAAAGCTGGCATTTCAGTCTAATTTGTTTCAGGAACTTGCTGTGTACCTGTGTCTGCACTGTGTTTCAGTGGGATTAAAAAACAAGCACAAATCAGAATTAAAATAATTTGATCTACTGACCTGAAAGTAGATATTTTTGTTTTTTGGTGTGCAGAACATTCACATTTTAAAAAACAAGCAGTGCTCTCAGATCAGGTTTGGTACTGGAAGATATTAGGGTCCTGTCTGGCTGCCATGAAGTAGCATTTACTGGACAAACTTCATTTACAAGTTCTTGTTGTTTCAGGACCCACAAGACTTGGCTGTTGTGAACAAGACAAGTACTGAAACATGGTGGATTACTATGAAGTTCTGGGAGTGCAAAAGCATGCCTCAGCAGAAGATATTAAAAAAGCGTATGTATCACTGGTGTATATGTATTATGTGTTTTAAGGAACAAATGTAATCACATATTCTGGATTTTTCATTTTGTTGTCAATACTAGAATGAGTAGAAATCAACTGAGGTAATACCTTCACTAACAGAAGTATTCAGTGTTCTGAAGAAAAAGCATATGCTAATTTTTATTGAACTGACAATCCTGAGTATTGTTGAAGGAAAAATGCTGTCAGTCACTGGTTCTTGATCACTGTTAAATACATTGCTGTACAAGTGTGCCTCCAAACTTGACATGGTGCAAGCAGTGACAGCTCCTTGCTCTGTCACTGATTTGCAGTAACTGCCTCCATTTGCAGAGGTGCTTTTTCAGAGTTATTATTTGACATGCTGCTTTGTTGGATACTAGCTCTTCCTTAACATGAGGTCTGGTTTCTGGGCTTAGATTTTGATGGACTGAACATCTGTAACTATTAAAAAAATACCCCACAGTTTAAATTTGAAGTACTGTTGTACAGTGTATGTGTGTAACACTTTCAAGATACACCATTTACTTTTCAACAAACAATTGGAAGGAAACATTTCTATAGTATACCTTTCTATTATTCCAAAACTGTCAATAAATTGCAGTTTCAAGTGACTTGGAAATACTATGTTTCTCCCTTTCCTTCTCCTAGCCTCCTGAACTTAATTAATCAAATTGCAGTAGTGCACAGATATTTGATTTATGTTTTTTTCTCCCTTGTTCTTTTGCAAATTTGTGTACATACTGCTTTGTCAACTCAGATGTTTGAACTGTGATCTTTTATCACTCTGTGTAAAACATTAAATCAACCTGAGTGCAAGCTTTGCTTTGCCCCTCTCAGTAGTTTTGAACACTTTGCCTAAAGTATTTCATTTGGCAATAGGAATTGTGTGCAGGTGTAGCAGTCAAAGAAGCCACAGATGTTAGGATGCTGCCACAATTTGTTATCAAAGTGCTCTTGGAGCTCTGTCATCTTTGTACTAGCAGAGTACTCTTGATGCTTCCCAGGGTTTGTTGTATTGAATAATGATGGAGCTCTAAGGAGAAGCCGTAACAGAAATGTTATGAAATGTGTTGTTTAGTCTGCCAGATGTTCATAATCAGAAACACAGGAATAATCTCAAAATAACTAAAGAACCCCAGACTTTTTTCTTTTTTTAAAGCAAGTCTGATTAGATGGTTCTTTGTGTACCTGCAGAATCCATTGGTTCTGGTTTAGATGCAAGATACAAAGTGCTGGGGAATTCTTAAATACTTTAATCTCTGTCTACTTGTTTGAAATGTGCTTATCTGTATAGCATATTCCTCCACTCCACTTCAGAGTAAAATATCCTTTCTTTTCCTTACATTTAGGTACCGAAAACTGGCGCTAAAATGGCACCCTGATAAAAATCCAGAAAACAAAGAGGAGGCAGAAAGGCAATTTAAACAGGTAGCTGAAGCCTACGAAGTTTTGTCAGATGGTAGGTATTTTAAAAGGGCTCTTGAACTGCAGATCTCTAGTCAGGATGTCAGACTGAAAATGCTGATGTGTGATGCTTTAAAGGAATATTGTAATTTGGGTTTATCATCCAACTCAACTACTTTCTTTTCAAATGAAAGGAGAGGAAAAGAAGATTGCAGATAAGACAGAGTATGCATGAATTTTGAAAAAAAATAAAATAAAATTCAGTTTCTCTCTAGATGAGTAACCAAACCCATTTCCTTCTAGAAATTGGTATCTTATGTTTGCCAGGCCCATTCTAGAAATCTAGGAAGAAATATCTATTAATACCAATATTCATTTTATCTTGTGAAGTAAGGCCCATGTTCCCATCAGTATAGGGGAATTACTGTGTTTATCCAATAAAAACCGGGCTAGATAAACACTTAAGTGTCTACTACTGTGCCTTCTGCTTCTCGTTGTTGTAATAGGAAACTAGTCTTGACAAAGCCCAAGCCTTCCTGAAAATTGAGATTTCAATTTGGGTGAATTCTATAAGTTCAGTCAACTGTAATAGTGAGGAGAGTGTTCATTTTGAACTGTTCCAGAATGGTTGCTTAGCCTGACCCATGTAGTGCAGGAATTCAGCTTGCAGGTCGCCTGTTTCTTTTTGTATGAAAAGTATCATTAACTTTAGTTAAGTGTTCTGCCAAAAGCTGTTTGAATCATAAAGTGATTTGATTATTTTCCCCTGTAATTGACTGCAGCTGTCTTTATGCTATTTCTGAAGTGTCCTTGGTTTCACCTGAGACCAGTGAGCATGGGAAAGCTATATTTAAAGCACTAGCAGCATCTAGATTACCTTTCAGAATTTGGCCTGGTTTATCAAGCTGCAGTCTTGTAACACCCTGTTTCTTTGGTTTTGATACTTAATTGATGACTTGAGAGAAGCAGAACTTAATTTATGGACAGTTCATTGTATACTTGTCTGCTAGAGTAATTTAACCTTCTTAAGCACATTTTGGAGCAAGATAAAGATAGGTTACTGGTCTAGTTGTTACACAGATCATTAAGTTCTTCAGAAACAGTGCACTGCTAGAATTTTAGAACATTTTCTAAAAACGCTGCTTGTTTTTGGATCTAGACCAAATCCTAAGTTGCTGGTGTCTTAACAATAATTTGTGCAGTAGAGGTATCTGAATCCTGAGCCCCATCATTGAGAGGTGTTTAGCTGTCCTGTAGGCTTAAATGACATTTTCTGACATCATTTCAGGCTTGAATGACGACAGATTTTGCCAGAAGAATAGTTTTGTGAGAGGTTACATAAGCAAGGTCTATTGAAATTGGGTGATTATAGAACACACTTCCCTTGTGGTTTCAAGAACATAATGTTTTTCAAGGTGGACTTCTGGGTGTTGTCAACCCCCAGGTCTTCCTCTTTCCTGATACCTTTGACAGCTTGTTTACCTTACTGCTTTGCTCGTGGTGGGTAGGTTGACCTCCTTTCTTTAAGGATTGCTTTCTTGACAAGATGTTTAGTGGAGAATACCAGTTATGTGTTTCTGTTGTTTCCAAATTCAATGTGCCTTACTGACATGTTGTACAACTTCTTGTAGCTAGAAAACGGGACATCTATGACAGATATGGAAAAGAAGGCTTAATAAATGGAGGCGGAGGTATGTTGACAACTAGCAGTTCTTCCCTTTTTTTTGTGCTGGTGGGGAGACTTTTCCTGCAGATTTCTTTATAAGATGGGAATCTGGAAATGCCTATAATAAGGCCTAAAATGTAATCTTCTGAAAATGGAAATGAATTTTTTTTTTTACAATTTTTCTAGTTGTTGTAGAAGTTATTACTGGTGTCTGGAAACAGAGAAGAGAGGATTAATTGTAAAAAGTATTGTGTATACTTAGCTTGAGTGATATCTGTAACGGAAAGAGAAGTTTTACCAAATGTGTTTATATTCTTAAATTATTCAAAAACTGTATAAGCCTGTTTTTGTTAGTAAGAACATGTGACGGTAATTTAAATTTAACTTCTTTTTGCAGGTGGAAATCATCATGATAATCCATTTGAATTTGGTTTTACATTCCGGAATCCAGAAGATGTCTTTAGGGAGTTTTTTGGTGGAAGAGACCCCTTTTCATTTGACTTCTTTGGTAAGTAATCCACTGGTTTTAGTTACTTGTATCTAAAAATTTACTCTTGCAAAACAGGCATATCTAATGCAGCTTATTAGACATAGCTCTCAAAACTGGAGGTAAATACTGGTATTTCGTATTATATTTAAAATGTTTGTTTCCTACCTGTTTCTTCTCGGTTGATTTGATAGTACGGAACAGATATGCCTGCCAATTGATGTTTTGGTAGAATGCCTGGTTTAAAAACTCGTTAAGTCATAGCTGCTATGACTCTGTAGGTCAGAAGGAACTGACATCGAACAGAAAAAGTACACACTGGAATTCCCTCTCAGGAATTTTACTGGGCAAACTTAGTTGGTTGAATTTGATCTCTTTTGATCTGTAAATATTTAATGTAGCTTTGAGAGCTTCTGTACTGGACAGGTTAACTATAACTGTTAAAACATAGCTCTCAGTGTGAATTTGTGTCATAGCAGAAATAATTTTCTTGTATCAAAGTAAGAACAGCTGTATTCCCAGTCTAGACACTCTTCCCAAATTCATGTTTTCTTGGGGGAGTAGAGCCCCTGAGGGCTCAGACTATGGCTGGGTTGGATGGGTCTCCGAGGAACCTGATCAAGTGGGAGGTGTCCCTGCCCGTGCAGGGGGGTTTGAACTATGTGATCTTTAAGGTCCCTTCCAACTCAAACCATTCTGTGATAACTGAAGTAGTTCTTGAGACCTGGTTGCTTCATTTAGTTAAAGGAAGCAATATGTAATGAAGTTGTCAATGTAATCTTTTTACTGTAGTGCTGATGATCTTTTGGCTAATGATGTTCCTTGCTTAAGTGTAATGAAGGCCTTTTCAGAGGTGCTGGAGTTCTTACTCAGTCTCTCTGTGAATATTCTACTGCATAAAATACTGACCTATAAGGCAGAACTGATCCTAAGTTCAGTATTTACTTAGGTAAAGTAAAAAGTGCTATATTGAAAATTTGAAGAAGTGTATGTGAAAATCAAGGGTCTCTTCCTATTCAGTGCCTTAATACTGATTAATACTTTTAGAGGTAATTTTTAATCTTTGCTGGCAGCATTAAGGGGCTAATTCAGCTCACATTTTAATTTTTTGTTTCCTTAGTTTGCTATTCAGGCATCATTAGTTGTTGAATGACATCTTATTGGTGGATTAGAAAAGGAGTTGAAAGACTAGCGGTTGAATTCAGTTGAACTTTAGTTCATGAATTAGATTAGCAGCTAGATGAAGAATCTGGTAGAAAATAAGCAGCAGAACTTGAGCAATTAGATCCAGTGGGAAGCACAGGCGGTTCTGCCTGAACTTAAGGGAACACTTTACTACTGTGAGGGTGATTGAGCTTTGGAGCAGTTGCCTGGAGACATTGTGGAATCTTTTGTTTGAAGACACTCAGAAGCCATCTGGACATGGTCCTGGGCAGTCCATTCTAGGTGACCCTGCTTGAGCAGAGGATTGGACTAGAAGACCTCTGAAGGTCCCTGCCAGCATCAACCATTTTGTGACTGAGTGATAGAAAACCCAGAAAAATCTGAGCTAGATGTTGGGAGGAGAGTGTTTAGCTCTTACGTTAGTTTTTAAATCTAGGATACTTTAAATAAAATAGTTGGTTCTCAATCAAGTATCTGTATAGTAAATTGTATAGGTGAGGTGTCTTCTAGCTCCCAGCAGACGGGTGTAGGCTCTGTTTTACTTGGATTGTATTTACTTCACCAGTGTTAGCAAAAGATTTAACATGCTGTATCTCAAAATGTCAGGTTAAAGCTGTCAGGTTGTGTTCTGTGTGTTAAGTAGTCATGGGCTTAAAAAGAAGCTGAGGACATACCTTTTGGGTTCCATAGAAGGAAGACTGTACAGAACTATCTAGCTTACTGCCAAAGTTACCCTGGCATATTGCAACTGCTTTTTGCCTTTCCTGTAAAGAAATAGTGATAGATTTTATGCTGTGGGAACAGTGGACCTAACAACATAACTCTGTGCTGGTGACATCAGGGCACGCTTCCAAAAACGTTTTTCCCCTGCTTAACATCCAAACTTACTTATTCAAAAGCTGGTTATCTACTTCATATGTTGATCACTGCAATTGTCAGCTTAAGATATGAGTAATGGGGCACAGGCTTCACTTCTTGCAGAGTAAGTTTCTGGCACTGTCAGTAGCATTATGGATACTCCAGTTGATGAAAGCCAATTGTTTCAAAGCTGCCTCCACTTTAAGTGGATAGTTGCAGTGTCAGTGATCAGAATCCTAAAGCCTGTCATGAGCTCTGGATTCTGAGTAAAAGCTCTTGTAATTTTTCTTGTCAACAGGCTTCAAAGTGAGCACCTCTTTTTTTTTTTGAATTTTTTTTGGCTTCAAGATTCTTAAGATATTCTCCAATATGGGAAAATGTAACTCAAAGCAGGTTTTCCACAGCTTTCCGATAACTATTATTTACAGCAATCTCTGCATTTACATGATATTTAAGGTAGTACAACATGAAAATACAGATGTTTTCGGCTGATTATAGTGCATTTAATAATGCCAAAAGCAAGGAGTAGAATTGTGTGTACAGCATTAGTATTTCTATTGGTGAACTGGAGCCCTTGTACCTTGTGCTGTGTTGAAACACTGATGGGACAGTTCTGTCCTGAAGAATAAGGGAATTTATATTCTAAAAATGAGTAGTTTTCAACTTGTTGATTAATTTTCTGTGGAACTAGTGATTTAAGGAGCTACTCAGGTTATAATTGGTTTTATAAGCAACTGAATAAGGACTGAGTTAATGCTTTCTAAAAATGCACATTGATAGAATCAAGGATGAAATTGAATAAAGACTTTGAAATGTTTGCACCTTTTACACAGTTTGAAGTGGCATGTTGTGAAGCCCACAGGATGCAGGTGGGACTCTGTATCCTGATTGCCAATGAATATGTAAACAGCAGCATTCAGATGCATAATCCCTATAAATTTACAGATGTGAAGAATTTCTGTAATTGTGCTATGAATTGAGTCTGTTAAATTTCCCTGAGGTATGTTGCACTGTTACAGTTACAGAAAATGCTCTTTATAAACAGAGAGGCATCTTTATTAATCTCTAGAAAAGAGGAGAAGGTTTGAAGACTTCTGGTGATTTTTAACTAATCAGTCCCTACAGACTTTTCAAATTAAATTTTAGAATACTGCTGCAGACAACTCTCTGCTTCCAAATGGAACAAGGTTAATGTTGTGTGCTGTGTGTTGCGCTGGAATTAACTCAGCCAGTCACATTTTAGAGTCTGATTTTCAGGCACGTTCTTTGTAAAAATAAGGATGTATGAAACATAGTACTTTTAAAAACTTTATCAGATAATATGATAGACAATTAACTCCTAACTTTTGAGACATGGACATGCATTCTTTTACAGAATGCACCTGGTTACTGCAGAATCTCCTTTTTCCTAGTGAGCTCTTTCAGTGATAGTTTTCATTCTCTTTGACATATGTATCAGGATGGTAATCCTGATAATAGGAAGAAACAAAAAGGTGGTGGTGCTTGCTGTGCAGTGCTAATCTTTGTATTGCAAATACTGCCTTGGAATGTCAAGATCTGGATAACTGGCATTTAGCACTCTGTACCGAGTGCTTCTATTCTTTCAATGTCTTTTGACATTACAACTGTTTACTCTTAATACAGGAATTAGTTTCTCATTTCAGTAAGTTTGTTCTACTTAAAATATCCTACTCAATTTAGATGTGCAGTTGCCTTGATTTTGTGTTTTTTTGTGTTCTATGCAGTTCGTGTTTTGTTTTACTCGTGTGAACTTTTAAAGGACACTCTTCTTCTGTATTTTGACAGCTGATAGGGAAAGTCTGTGTTACTACCGCTAATGGAAGTGCATTCATTAATTTGAAGATGAGTTGCTTCAAGTATTGTGAGGGACAAAAACTGGTGTGTTTTGGTGTAAGCAAAAATGCTTGACTGATTCTGGGCTGTTAAAGAATTGACTTGGTTGTGGTTTAGATGCTTTTCATGTTCTCACATCAGGAATGGGTTGTGTCTGGGAAGGGATTATCGGTGAGAAACTGTGTTGAAAGGTGGAGTGGGTATCACAGGAGCGTTACATTACCCAAAAGTAATTCAGTCGTTCAAACATCTCTTTTAGTAGTTAAGTCTTCTTGTACGGACATTGAGCTTCACCTACACATCTGGAGACATTTGTGATGGTTTAGAGGATCTGAGATGCCTGAGTAGTTCGTGTATGGGCTAGAAAATGCAACTCATGACCTACATCAGACCAGTATCCTCCAGAAGCAGAGGAAGCTTCACAGGATGTTTCAGAGCATTTCAAACAGTTTTAGATACTTGTATGTCTACTTCAATGAATCCCATAGGGAACCATGTTTTTTCTGTAGTAGAGTGTGCTAATAATGACATGGTAAGTTGCTCCAGGTAGATGCTTTCTCTAGACCTTGATGTTCAAGAGGAGTCTGTTTGCAAAGTCTGTTTACACATAGATTATAATATTGACAGTTTTGCTGTAGTTCCAAAATACTTTAGTATTCTTAGTGTACGTTTTGAGATGGTACTTTATAAATGTCTTAAATGGTTCTTAGTTTGCAAAGTAGAATTCAATACCAGATGATGTGTAAAAACCCATATATCTTCTGAGCTTCCCTTGGGAATTCTGGTTACCTGGTTTAAGGAGTATTTAAGAATCTGTACTCCTCGAAACAAAAGGTAAAATAAAACTTAACACCTTTATATGGCTAGGTACCCATGCCCATGAATATTTGTCATGGAGAATGTTAGCTAGCTAGTTATGTGGTATGTAGTTTGGTTCCATCAAACAACAACAGAATTACTACAGATTTATTAATATCAATTGCATAAAATGAAGTATGAGCATTCTGGAAAAGTATAGTAAGTTACTTTAAGCATCCAGGCTAAAGAGTCTGTTTTACATGATCGGTGTTTTAGGATGTTGTTTAGGAATGGGATACTTTCATCAACCTTTTTGTCTCAAGGATAGAAAAGTATTTTGCTCGGAC